GAAGGCGGGGAGGGCAGGGGGAGGTGACGTGAGCGCTGGGGTTTGAGCAGCAGGAGAGGACGAGCCGTCGGGTTCTGACAGAACGAGGAGTGGTTTCAGAGGAGGACGACCCGGTGCTGTCCTCTGGAGGAAGAGACGCTGGTGGGACGCGGCTGGACGCAGAGGTACCTGGGAATGTATCGGTCTGGGCTGGAGGGGCTGCCGTGTGACCTGAGGTGGTCTGCAGGCGTTCCCCCCGGGGCCGAGCTGAGGCATGACGTCCACCCTGCGTACAGTGCCCACAGTTGGAGCCTCCACCCGGGCCGGCACAGACGCTTTTAACCTCACCTTAGCTGGACTGGAGCAGTCAGGACGGGGAGGGGGGCACGGCCTCTCCTTTACCTGCTGTRCACACAGTGGTCTGCTGGGGGGGCTTCTTAAAACGGCAGCTTTACTCTCCGTCGACTTTGCTGTTGCAGCGAGCTGTGGACCATCTGGGAGGTTACTGATGAGGTTACTGAGGTGCTCCACGTCCAGCTGGACTCCCTCCGGTTTTGGGTTTGTCTGGACCGGGGTCTTCCTGGTGGGACGCAGCGGTGTGTTGGGGTTCAACAGAGGCTTTTTCACCTCTGGAGGCCTGACCTGTTGTTTGGTAAGAGCTAACTGACTCTTAACGTATTTGGCCTTGTCTGCCTCCAGTCTCTCCACAGCGCTCTGCCTCGGCAGGCCTGCCGCCGCCGCCGCGGTCCTCCGGTAAAAGTCTGGTCCCACCGGCCCCTTAGGCCTCAAACGTGGAGGTGAAGCTCTCACAGCAGCCTGCGCCGGCTGCCTGAGAGGCTGCTGCAGCGTCTCCACAGGCATCCTGTCAGCTGGCAGTGCTACCTGTACGTCACAGTTGTCCTTTAGCCACCTGGGAGTGGGAGTCAGAGTGAACTTGTTGCATTCTTGAAAAGGTGGGACCTCAGCGGCTCAGCTGAACTCGAGCTCCTTGACATTTGAACTTCCTGTGGAACACACAAAAAAAAAAAATCAGTCAGCCGAGCAAAAGAAGATAAATTACCGTTCAGTCAATAAAAACATCTTAAAGGCACTTTAGTCGTCTACAAATGGCACAAAGACGCCCATTCACACTCCCACATKTACTCGGCTCCAGCCAGCGGCTCCCCAGACACGTTCCCCGTCTTCCAAGTTCACGGGCTGCCAGCGCCGAGTCTGGTCGGAACAATTTCTTCACCGTCATCCATCTTCCTCGCAGACAAACGCACAATGAAGCCGACACTTGGCTTGCAGTTAGCAGAGAGGCAGTGAAAAGGGTGGAGGAGATGTTTGAGGGGGTGATGGGAGGAGGAGGTCCAGAACAGCTGTCAGTGGACCTTTGTGTGGAGACGGATCACACACACACACACACACACACACACACACACACACACACACACACACAC